GTGTGTGTGTGTGTGTGTGTGTGTGTGTGTGTGTGTGTGTGTGTGTTAATCCAACAAAGGAAAAAGCTTCCTTCCATGAGAAAGGCTAAACTTCACTCATCAATCGTCTGAACTTAATAAAAAGTTGTGTTGTGATGTTTGTGCCGCTCTCTCTGAGAGTTTGTATCTTCAGCTTGTTGAAACGCGCTGCGGACCCGTCTGTCTGGATGTGGTGCGATGCTGCCGAGCACATTGTCTGTGGGCTCCAGGACGGTACCTGGACCTGCCTCCAACACACGGGCCATCCCACTGAGCTCGCCTCAGAGTGGAATAAACAGGGAAGACGTTCTTCCACAGGAGCTTCTAAAGTCTCTGAACTGTGAGATTTGAAATGCTTTAGGATCAAAGTTTCTACTTCTTCTCTGTCACATCTAAGCAAAAATAAAGTCCATGTTCAATAATCCAGGTATACAATCCAACATTTTTCAGTCAGGTCATCTGGACAGTTTCTTTTCTTGTGCTGAAACGTTTCGCCTTTGATCCAGAAGGCTTCATCAGTCAAGGAAACGCATAACAAAACTGATTCTTCCCCCAACAGCTTACTCCAAAGTGGAACAAACCAGTTTTGTTTGTGATAAGATGTACACTAAGCAAAAATCAATCAAACATGTGCACTTGCTGTTAGATGGGAGCAGTGATCACCTTTGACCAACATCTGGTTCTCTGTACTCATTCCAGAGGTTTATACTGTGATGGCTTGGTAAAAAAACGTGCATCATTACGTGCCTAATATTTGAACATCTTTGACCCTGCACCATAGACTTCTGTAAACCACTAGAGGGTGCTCCGGTCATGTGACCTCTTTGAGTCATATAAACCACTAGAGGGCACTCTGGTTACGTGACCTTTTGATTCAGTGGAGCTTCGGTGGCCATTACCAGAACGGTCAAACATCGGAACTTGGTGTGTTGGTAGACACTGACTCAATAACTAAGTATGGGCTGACTGTGAAAAATGTAAATAATAATAATAATAATAATAATAATAATAGCGGCAGCACGGTGGCGCAACTGGTAGAGCTGCTGCCTCTCAGCGAGCAGGTCCTTGGTTCAAACCCCGGTCCACGGGCCTTCTGGGTGGAGTTCTCTCCGTGCATGCGTGAGTTTTCTCCGGGTACTCCGGTTTCCTCCCACAGACCAAAAACATGCATGTTAGGCTGATTGGTAACTCTAAATTGTCCCTAGGTGTGAGTGAGAGAGTGAATGGTTGTTTGTCTCGTTTGTCTCTGTGTGTCCCTGTGATGGACTTGCGACCTGTCCAGGGTGTACCCCACCCCTCGCACAGTGATTGCTGGACATGGGCACCAGCGACCCCCGTGACCCAAAATGGAATAAGCGGGTAAAGAAAATGGATGGATGGATAATAATAATAATAATAATAATGTCTGTACAATAGTAATATATTAGAATGTATTCAAAAATATGTTAAAGATGAAGCAACAGAGGAGAAAAGGGGAAACGTGTCTCCTTCCACAAATCATCAGATTTGAGCTTATTTACCTCAGTGTGATTCAACCAGCACTGAAGCTGCTAATGGACCCGTTTACAGCTGATGTAACAGCTGTTATTGAGTTGACTTGTAGATTGTAGCTTCTGTGCTGTATGGGCTGAATCATGCTACACTTTAGTACAAAATATTCAACAGTTCAAGTAGCTGTTGGTAACAATTCACTACCTGCATGAAATCTGAAAATGTTCTTTTTAATCTCAAACACTGATCACTGCAGCTAGCAGCGCCTGCATGAACACAATGTACATGTTAAAAAAGTTAGTTTCAAACTCAACTAGTTGAAGTCATAATTATTGAAGCAGCTAAAAAGTCCTATTCCTAACCCAGTTCGTTTTGAACAGTGAACTTCCTTTGTACATATTAGGAAAGCAGCAGCAACACCACACACACACACACACACAAACACACACACAGAAATTCAATAACCCAAGTATAAATCAAGTCACCAGAGTGTTCTCATTGACACACATGCAAAGAGAGAGTGGTGGGTTAAAGCACGCCGAGATGCACCAAGGCAAGTAAACACACCGCCGCTCCAAACACACACTCCATCAGGCCCAATCGGCAGCGGTAAACACACCGCCGCTCCAAACACACACTCCATCAGGTCCAAACAGCAGCGGTGGGAGGCGGCACAATGGGTACCGCCAGGCGCCGGCACAGCTAAATTGCAGACAGCGAATGGGAGATCTGGACCATTTTTCAAGGCCGACTATATATTACAAATTGGCTACTAGGACACTGTCTGCAAACACACACACACGTGCACGTGCACACAAACAGGCACTCATACACATGAGTACAAAGTGAAAAAACTAATCCTGGCTTGTCCTATTGTAGCCCAAAGAGCTTCAGAATTCTCCCTTTTTCAACAATTTCCTCCGAATAAACCATGTGATTGAAAATGTGTCGGTTTAGTGTGAAAGACCTCGAGAACACACACACA